TTTGAAGCTATTCTGAACATCAAAGCAAACTCTCACAGCTTGTTTAACCATTCTTCTAAAGACTAAGGAATCAAACATGAAGACAAACATTCTTCCAGTAATATGTTCATATTTCCAGAAATAGAAATAGTTTTGTAGCCAAGCTTAGGTTTGGGGAAAATGGAATAAATTTCCAAGAAGAAAAGTACTTCCTCTAAGTTTTTCTCAATTTTCTCTTAAATTTTTATGAACCTTTCCAGTTTATCCCTGCAACTAATATTCAATGCTCCCTATTTTTAAAAAGCACATTTTTATTTTTTTCTATTAGGTCCATACCTCTTGATCCCTGGTCAAAATTCGCATGTTCTAAACAGTTCTACAGATACCGTCGTTTAAACCTGTGATAATTTCTATACAAATAGTGCTGAGCCATAAACTTTCTCAAAATATAAAACATTAAAAAAAATAGAAAAAAGGGACAAAAGCCTAATTCTAGCTGGATCATAGATTCCTGAGATCAAGCAAGATAATATTTAACAATTTCCTTTAAGGATTTTTACATACAACAATTACTGGAAGGGTTGTGTTCAAAGTAGAATCAGAAGTAATTCAATGTCAAGGTCTTTGCTAAATATTTTGTGGCATGCAGAATTATATATTTACAAGTAACATTATTTGTTTGAGAAAAGTTTGAAGCGGGGTGAATTAATTTGGAGCTAATAATATGAACAGTAGAGAACAGATTTAGGAGACAAAAAACTAGAACAAAACTTATTCTTTGATCTATATCCACAAAATTCATTTCAGGTCACCTGGTGACCATAGCAATCATGAGCAGTTGGAATATATTGATGGTGAATTTAGCCATCATAATTCAGGGCAAAAAAATCCCACAATTTACTACCAGTTTGTCAGCTAGACCTACAGGTTTCTTCTCAAGATGTTCCAAATTGATTCAGATTTGGGAGGAAGCTGAGGAAAAACACCTGAATTCCAAATATACTGATCACTTTATAGGCTGATCACCTATAAGGTCATCCAGTCCAACCCCCTGCCCAAGCACTGCCCATGCCAATTTATATTTCACTGGGATGTCCTTTGACCTCCATGGCTGCTCCAAGAATGGGAAAACCTCAGTACACTAGAATATTTTGAACAAGGTGTGAAGGCTAGCTAAATGAGCAAGAACAGTCCTCTATTTCAAGAGCTGTCTGAAACCATAGACGAGTTAAAGATAAGAAGGGAAAACTGCTGGGAATCTTGAAAATTTGCTCATCAAATATTAGCATCCTTGATAAGTATTGATAAATTACCATCTTCTATATCACAATGAAGCATTTTGCATTTTAAATAAAATGACCATTCCTGTAGATTGTCCAGATTTGAAACAAATGCATTCTTTGTTTCAAGCTTTTTATTTTTAAAATGGGCCAAAGCATTTCCTCTCCTCCCCTAGCATCTCATAGCAGATTATTTCACCTGTGTGAGATTTACAGTGTGTGTTTCTTTAGACTGCAGTCTATTGAGTGTTAGATTAACTATGTCTCAAAACTCACCAAAGTAGCGGGAATGTAAGCTTTGAGGAAGTTTCCGGAGTCAAATGAAAAAAACAACCTCTTGGATGTTTTTGAACTTATACAAATCAAATCTTTATTACAGCCAGAGACCAGCGTAATATATATATATATGTCCAGCTTTGAATATCTGTGGAGATTCTCAGTTATCCAGGTCATGGTTGTCCCAAAGGAGACAACTGGACTCTCAGAGCTGAAGAAGCTTCTTGGATGAGAAGTGAAACAGTCTTGAAAAAAAACAACCAGAAAGTCCAGTTGCGTCTTGAAAAAGCACCTTTGGGACATCCAGATTTAAAATATCACGGAATCTCCCTACAAACCTCAAAAGATTCCCAAACTATTTCTAACATTCGGAGGGGTGCTCTGATTTAAAGTGTTCTGAGAAGGCATAAACTTATCCATAGTCCAGTTAAGTTCAATGTTAACAGGAAAGAAAGCATTTCATGGATGCATCTGTCAAATGATAGGATGCTAAGGGGGGGGGGGAACACTTCAAATGGGGTCATTTTTCTAACCAAATCAATTGTGATTGCAATAAAACCTGCAGTTCGTTGCTGAAATCAGCATCTACAGGTGCTTCCTTTATCTGGCAACCTCCAGGTATGTTGGGTTACCCATCAAACTGCAACTAGTTTTGGTCAATGGTTCTGTTGGTTGGGGGACAATGGGATTTGCCCTCCACGATGGCTAGAAAAAAAGCATCTGGAATTTACAGGTTTACATCCTTCATAAAGAGGAATTGAAATAAGGACTGGGTTGGGATATTTGTTACTCTAACCTAACTGTGAACAGAGTATGCTAAACTAATTGACTGAACTAGTTGACTCTGGAGGTAGATGTGGAAATGGTTGGTCATCTCCTCTTATTTATCTCCTCTATCTAGCAACCTCGGTTGGAGTGCTCCTGAACCCTGAAGAGCTACTCAACCAGCCTTGTTGACAATCCTTTTTTCAATCTGTCTTTCTCCTCTATGAACTGTTTTTTTGGTCCCTGGCAGCCTAGACTTCCTGCTGTAATTTTACACAGGTCAGTCTGGGAGGAGGGTGTCAAAATAAATAGTAAATTGTAACCGTTCTAAAAGAGGAAAGACCTTTTCTCTTTTTACCTGTAGGCTCAATTCATCCGAAAATGACAACTTTGATTCTGTATCCTACTGTCAATCAGGGAGACACCTAACTGAACATAGCAAAGGAAGGTAACCAGTCTGAGAGATGGCTGGATTCAGAGTAAAGATTAAATTGCACCAAACAGCCTGCCAGATGCTATCCCCCATTGCAAGAGATGCTTTCTGGATGGTGGATCCCACCACCACTTCTCAACAGCCAAGGAAGAGTGAAGGGTTTGCAGAAATCGTCCCAAATCCTGAAAATCCATCCAAAGAAGATGGGAAGATCTCCTGGAAGATACAGATCTCCTGTATCATGACCCTAACAGTGGATAAAAACAGTGGGCTTTTTCTGGCTGGGACCAAGACACCAGGACTTTCAGAAAAACCTATATATTCCACCTTTGAGTGGCAGCAACCTGTATTTTTAAGGAGGGGGAGGAATAGAGAGAACAAGGGCAACTCTTCCCCCCCCTCCCCTCCCCTCCCCTCCTCCTGAAACTTTCATCTTTGGAGAATTAAACATGATTAGCTGGCACTCTCTCCAACTGTTGGAAGTGCACAGTGGCATATCTGTAGCCACAAAAGGAGTGCGCTTCGATGCGAAGAACATGTTTCTACACTGCATTTGAGAAAGTTTGGCTCCGAGCTATGCACTGATTAATATCAGATCTCTTCCTTGACTCGCTCCTTGATCTTGTCACATCTGGCTGACAAATCCTTACAAGCTTTTCCAAACCAGGGCAGCCTCGTCATGCTCGAGGAGTCGCTGGAAGGAAGTGACAAGACCAGCCGAGCGCTGATGTGCCATCACTGAAACTAATGAAGTTGACTTTTCGCTTCCAGGCTCCCGGAAAGTTTTTTTTTTAAAAAAAATAAAAAAATAAAATAAAGGCAACACAACACGCCTCAAGGTTTTGCAACACGGAACAGTTCACCAGAAGATAAGACAAACGATCCACCTCCCAAAAATTCACGCTGCCAAGCTATTGCATGATCTTAAAAAAAAAAAAGCTTTTTTCTAAACTCCTTATGGGGATAATCTGAACCAAAACAGCACCTCCAGTATGCGTAATTAAAATGAAAAGAGAAAAGAAATAGCGGAATTGTTCAAAAATCTATTCTTCCCTTTTTGGAGAGGATGGTTTCTTTTCTTTGCATTTTCTTTTTCTTTTCCTTTCTCTCTTTGTAAAAGTTTGTAGAGTGTAATGTTGGATGCTTTTAAAGATATTTTGTTTTCATTTTCTCCCTCACTCTTAAGATGTTCTTTATATCCTCTCTTATGCCCCATGGACTAATCTCACTCACACACACACCAATGTATTTTTAATATCTCAAAAACAGAAGAAGTTATCCACAGGTTTACTTCTTTAGAAAACACCTTTTCCCCCCAATCTGTTACCTTCAGTACTTATCAAAACAGTGCAGACAAATACATGCAGAGAACACATGGTGTGCATGAATGTACATTATACATGCACCCACATATCATGTAAAGAGAGGATGCGCTTGGTCTGTTATCTGAAGCATGGTGAATAAAACATTTTTTTTAAAAAAAAAAACTATGTCTTGAACTTTTTAAAAAACTATATCAACAAATAACATCCGGAATCACATTTTTGAGGCAGGATAAAGGGCAGAATTCCCCACCCCATCCTCAAATTGATGTGGCCACATCACTTTTGTCCGGTCTCAATATCACTCAACATCACACAACTGTATCACCACAACCGTCGTGTTATCTGCTTAGAGCCGTCCACTCAGAACATGTGGGAGACACAAATCATGCATTTCGTATGTACTAAATTAAATTGCTCGTGCAAAACTTGGTAGGGATTAAACGCTGCCAAGCTCGTCACAATTTACAGGTGCTTCTTCTTCTTCTCCGGCAACAGGGACCGGAGAAACTTGAGCGAAACGGGTTTCCAACCACCTGGAAGCAAAAAAACCGAAGATGTACCTCTTTTTCGAACCCAAGTTTGCACCCCCCCAAAAAAATCAAAACCCGTTTTCTTGGCCATCCGTGCCTTTGAAACAAATCCGATATTTTTTTTCCTCCCCAGCAAAGAATGAGAAGGCTGCGACTCCCGACAAATGATTCTGCAAAACCTGGTCCCGCAGCTCAATCCACCGTTGCATGCAGGACAAGAATCTGCTTGAAATCTATTTGCTTGCTAGTCCGGGACACTCAAGCTATTGCCAGGAAGGCGAAGAAGGGGAGCAAGGGGGGAGAGAGAGAGAGAGAGAGAGAATCTGGAAGAGGTGTAGGGACAGCGTCCCCCTCCGACTCCATGCACGGACGGTTATTTTAAAAAATTTAAAAAAAAAACAACTTTCCTTACCTCCGACATTCTTACTCGGCATATGTTTGGAGAGCTATACAAGTATTTCCCATCCCCTCCGCTGTGAGTTATACAAAGAGCCACCAGGAAACATTCTTGTCTGTACAAGTAAAAGAGGCAGAGTCATCCTTAGCCTTTGGTCTCTCACCCTCGTCTGAAGCGGTGCACCTCCACGCCTGTGTATGCTCAACACAGGGGAGTGAAATCAGATCTCCTCCAACACCACTCCGCCTCCCCCCCCCATACCACCCACTCCTGGCTCTGCTTCTAGGGAGCCCACAGTCTGAAGTTGGGACTGCTATCTCTTGCTCTCCCTTCCTTCCTTCCCCCTCTCTTTTCCTTGTTCCTCTCGCTTCTCTCTTTTCCCCCTCACTTTCTCTCTCTCTCTCTCTCCCTTCCTCTCTCTCTCTCTCTCTCTCTTTTCTCTCCCTCCCTCTCTTCTCTCTTCTTTCTCCCTTCCTCTAGCTTTTCTCTCCTTCCTTCCCTCCTTCCCTCTTCTTTTTCTCTCCTCTCTCTCTTTCTGTCTCTCTTTCCCTCTCTTCTCTTTCTCCCTCCCTCTAGCTCTCTTCTCTCTCCCTTTCTCTCTTCTTTCTGTGTCTTTCTCTTCTCTTCTCTCTTCCCCCTCTTTCTCTTTCTCCCTCCTTCTAGCTCTTTTCTCTTTCCCTCCTTCCCTCCCTTTCTCTCTTCTCTCTCTCTTCCCGTTTCTCGCTTCCTCTAACTCTTTTCTCTGTCCCTCCCTCTCTCCCTTTCTCTCTTTGTCTTTCTCATCTCTCTTCCCTCTCTTTCTCTGTCCCTCTAGCTCTCTTTTCTCTCTTTCCCTCCTTCCCTCCCTGTCCCTCTTCTGTCTCTCTCTTCCCCTCTTTCTCCCTTCCTCTAGCTCTTCTCTCTCTCTCTCTCTCCTCTCCAGGATGCTCCCACCTCAGTTGCAGCCCCTGCAGCCAGAATTCAGACCCCTCACAGCTGGCTAGAAAAAGGGCACGACACTCATCTTTCACACAGGTTGGATCAAAAGGAGACCTGAGCACCCCCCTCCCCCCCCCCACCAGCTCTGAATGCTGCTGCGTGTGGAGAGAGAAACCCCATCGCTCCTCCAGACCACAAAGCCATTCGGTCAATGAAGCTAACCTAAGGCCCAAGCTACCTTCCCCCACCTCTTTTGGGGCAAGGGGGGGATTTTGCAAGAGTCCCTAGATCTCTCTTCAAAGTTCTGTGGGAGGACAAGGAGGAAGATGATGATAAAATGATGACGATGAAGAGAATTCTTGTTTTTTTTCCTCCTCTGAGCAAGAAGGTGAGCTTTTGTTGAAGCACATCAAATGACTTCATTTCTAAATAGAATAAAATAGAATAGAATTCTTTATTGGCGAAGTGTGTTGGGACACACAAGGAATTTGTCTTGGCGCAAATACTCTCTATATTAAAGAGCCCCAACTGCATCGGTAAGGAAAAGTGAAATAAAACAGAGGATATCAATCCTCAAATAGCTCACACACACCTCCTGCTTTATTTTTTATTTTTTTAAGTTCAGCAAGACGATTTAAAGGAAAAAAGAGAGAAGGAATGCAAGGAAATCATCTGCATCAGAACTGATCCAATTTTGGGATGATGGTTTATTGCATGCAGGTTAAAGTATGTATCAATTAAAAGGGGGGGGGAACGAGTAGGTAAACTCAGCTATGGTGCCCCAGAACACAAATCTCTACCCTATACAGGGTTAAAAATGATTTTCCAATGAAAGAGAGAGGCAGTTTCATTATCTCAGATGAAACCTGGATCCACTTAAGACCCCCCACCCCCCATTTAGGCATGTGGGGCTGCGATGGTGTTTCTGCATTTAAAGGCATCAATTCTACCTTCATGCCTTGAGACTCAAAATAGGAATAGAAAGAGGGATGTCGCTCAGCAATAAAACCCAGGCTTTGTGGTCTAATATCCCAGGTTCAAATCCGTAGCCTCTCTAGATAAGGATGGGAAAAAGAAGCGTTTACCAGCTAAGGCTGCCATTCTGTTTGTCTTCGAGTCTGTCTTGGCTCCTAGTGAAGGAGTCCCTGTAGTTGTCTTGGCAAGCTATTTCTGGATGTGTTTTGCCGTTGCCTTCTTCCTAGGACAGAGAGTGTGGTTGGCCAAGGTCACCCAGCCAGCTTTGTACCTAAGAGCTGTGGTGGCACGGTGGTTAGAATGCAGCATTGCAGGCTAACTCTGCCGACTGCCAGCAGTTCGATCCTGACTGGCTCAAGGTTGACTCGGCCTTCCCATCCTTCTGAGGTTGATAAAATGAGGACCCAGATTGTTGGGAGCAATATGCTGACTGTGTAAACCACTTAGAGAGGGCTATAAAGCATTTTTAAGTGGTATAAAAGTCTAAGTGCTATTGTCTATTCTATTCTATTCTATTCTATTCTATTCTATTCTATTCTATTCTATTCTATTCTATTCTATTCTATTCTATTCTATTCTATTCTATTCTATTCCATTCCATTCCATTCCATTCCATTCCATTCCTCCTATTCTATTCTATTCTATTCTATTCTATTCTATTCTATTCCATTCCATTCCATTCCATTCCATTCTATTTATTGTATTCTATTCATCCAATCTAATTCTATTCTGCATTCTATTCCATTTCATTCCACTTGGTGGCACAATGATTAGAATGCAGAATTGAAGGTTAATTCTGCCCACTGCCAGCAGTTCAATCCTGACTGGCTCAAAGTTGACTCAACCTTCCATCTTTCCGAGGTCGGTAAAACGAGGACCCAGACTGTTGGGGACAATATGGTGACTCTGTAAGCCACTTAGAGAGGGCCGTAAAACTCTGTGAAGCGGTATATAAGCCTACGTGCTATTGCTACACTTCCAACAGTTAAGGCAGGGCTACAACTCACTGTCTACCAGCTTCTAGCCTAGTACCTTAACCACCAGACCACACTTTAGAGTACGTTTATGATGTACACAACCCCCAGAGTCAGTTGTTGCGACGGGCAACTATAGAAATCAGACCAGGACTGATAAAATAATAAATATAAAATAAAATAAAATAAAATAAAATAAAATAAAATAATAATAAAACAAAATAAAATAAATAAATAAATCAAATAAATCAAATAAATCAAATAAATCAAATCAAATAATCAAATCAAATCAAATCAAATCAATGCAATACAATACAATACAATACAATACAATACAATAAATACAATAAATAAATACTGGCTTTCCAAAAGAGTCTAAGCAGAGATCTGTGCACTAGGGGCCCAATACAGACATTCTCAGTTTCCTAGGTTCCCAAGCCTCTCCAGCACAATTACTTTATTTTGTTAGATGCGCATCCCAACTTCCGTGCAGGATTTCAAGACAATGTGCTAAGCACTCCATCTTCTCATTTTGTCCAGCCATCATCAACAACCCTATGCTTTGAGAGAAAGTGACCTACCCAAAGCTATTTCCTCATTTTCCATGGTTGGGCGTAGACTTGAGTCCCCCCCATTCTAGTCCAACAGCTTCACCACAATGGGCTGTAATAGTAAATCCAGCATGCACACAGTTTAGGTTATGTAAAACAATGGGGCATCAAAGCAGTCTACAAATAATTTTGCATGTATCTATGGTACAGTCATTTCACTGAGTGTGAATAATTATAGAGATAACAAGATAGAGATATTTCTATGTTTATTTTAAGGTTATTGGGTGTATTGTTCTCCAAAAATTACCTTTTGTTTTTCCCTTTGGAAATGTAATTTAGCGCTATTATCTAGCTTCAAGTAATACCTTTAGGTGTTCACCTAAAATTCTAGATGAGTATAGGAAAATCTTCTACTGTGTATCTCACAGCATATTTTCACCCCGAGATAAAATTTTAAGTGATTCACGGAGAAGGGGAAAAAAATGCGTCAGAAAATATCAGGAACTGCTTATCATCTCTCAATAGGTCATCGTCGCTTCTGAATATTTCTCTCTTTGCCCATCCCGACTATTCTCTTTGCAAAAAAAGAAAAGAAAAATCTATACCATACCCACTGGTGTCTGTTGGAGGAGGAGTAAATGGCAATGCAATGATTGTGGCAGCATGATCAAAGCCTCGCCCTTTGGGTGCGATGCAACTTTGATGTGTGTACAAATGAGGCAGGGCTTTGATGAGGCTGCCATTTTGCCTTTATTGACCCACTCTGTGGATGCCACTGATCCTATACCTACATTATATATATAGTGTCTGCCCCTGAAATCAGTGAAGCTCCCGCACCGAGTTTGATAACACCTGGCATTTTCCACACGGGAAGAATTCAACAGTTGCCCGAATCCCATGATTTTAAAATTCTGACTATGAGACAAATGGAAGGAAAAACAGAGAAGACTTCTTTTGCAAAAGGTCCAACAAGCTTCGATGAATGCTGTCAATGAAGCCTAATCTTGAGCGAATGTCATTTAGTTTCAATCATATTTATTTTACATACATTTTATAGGAAATGTATCAGTGGTTGGATTCAAAAAAATTTACTACCGGTTCTTGGTGGGTGTTGCTTGGTGGGTGTGGCAGGGGAAGGATACTGCAAAATCTCCATTCCCACCCCACCCCATTAACCTGCTTTCCAGCTCCATTCTCCTGTGCAGAGGAACAAAAGAAGACTGGGATTCAGGAGGCAGAGAATAGATGGGGGCAGGGCCAGTCAGAGATGGGATATGCCGGTTCTCCAAACTACTCAGAATTTCTGCTACCAGTTCTCCAGATTGAAACCAAATGACATTGAAACCAAATGACATTCACCCAGTTATTGGGCCACATCAACAGAATTTAAGGAAGCTTGTTTGACCCTTTACAAAAGTAGACACCTCTGTTTTTCCTTCCATTTATCCAATAGTCGGAATTTTAAAATCATGCAATTCGGGTAACCGTATTATGTTGAATTCTTCCTGTATGGAAAATGCCAGATGTTATAGAACTCAGTGGGGAAGTTCCACTGACTATTTGTATGTGTTGTATTTCCATGACCTATTTAATACTTATTTTACTTGCTCAATGTTGAATGTTGTGTGACTATAATTTGAAGGCGCTTCTGATACGAATTTTTAAAAATGGCAATAAAACCAACAAGATATAAAGAGGAAAATGGCATGCACCTTCAAAG